TTTATATGCTGCATGAGCTTTATGTTCGCATGACCTTTAAGTACCGTGCTATTTTACCTTTTATTCAACCATCTGTGATGCATGCTACCTTTGTGATACTTTATTGTTTCTATTAATTATGATTGTTAAAATAGTCGTAAGAATAGCTCTTCTGAGCTAAAGTTGCATTGTTACAAACACGACTCTAAATAAAAATTCTTGTATCTTGTATCTAGCCTAGTACTATGTAGGGTTGGGGGGTCGTCTCGGCAACTTGTAAGGGGTTTTACGTGTTCTCATCTAGGCCTGTATTGTTCATGTTTCATTGCTTCATGTATTTCTGTTAATAAATACTGTTATTGTATTACATCCCGGAGTTGAGTTATTACCTTCACCAGCAGAAACAAGCTACCCAATTCGAACCTGGGTAGTGAGGAAAAGGTAGCGAGCCGGGGGTAGTTCATAAGGAATGCGGTACTAGGCTACGGTTGTGCAATACCCGACAGGAAAGACATTTTGGCCTGGGAAGTATTTTATAAATCACACTAGTCAGGATTAAATTCTATATTTGTTATTAAATTACTATATTTCAAGTTTTTTCTTTTTATTTCATACAACAGTGTTATTTTTACAATGTGATATTTTAATACCACAATATCGTATATTGTTATTTGTACATAATAATGTAAAAGTGTATTATTGTTGTGTAATGTGATATTTGTTAAACCACAATATATGCTGTTATCTGTATATAATGACAAAGTTTATTATTGCTATATAGTGTGATATTTTTTATATCACAATATGGTATGTTGTTATCTGTACAAAATGTGAAAGTTTATTATTGTTTTGTTCCAAATGTAAAAGTTATGATTGTTGTATATAGTGTGATTTTTTATATCACAACATAGTATGTTATTTGAACATTACGTAGAAATGTATAATTGTTGTATATAGTGTGATTTTTTTTATATCACAACATAGTATGTTATTTGAACATTGTGTAGAAATGTATTATTGTTGTGTATAGTGTGATTTTTTTATATCACAACATAGTATGTTATTTGAACATTGTGTAGAAATGTATTATTGTTGTGTATAGTGTGATTTTTTATATCACAACATAGTATGTTGTTTGAACATTATGTAGAAATGTATTATTGTTGTGTATAGTGTGATTTTTTATATCACAACATAGTATGTTGTTTGAACATTATGTAGAAATGTATTATTGTTGTGTATAGTGTGATTTTTTATATCACAACATAGTATGTTGTTTGAACATTATGTAGAAATGTATTATTGTTGTGTATAGTGTGATTTTTTATATCACAACATGGTATGTTGTTTGAACATTATGTAGAAATGTATTATTGTTGTATGTTAAACTTTGTTCATTGTGACATTTTTGCTATGACACAGTAAAGTACATTGTTTGTTAAAATGTTATTCATACACAATGTGCAATTTTGTTTTATATGGGTTATTACATTTGAGGTAATTGTATTGGTTGGTAATGCCTACTGTATTATTATTGTATATAAAAAGTGCTATATTGTATGTTGTAAATTGTATATATGACTTTTTGGGATTTAGAATTATTATTGGGACAAATGTAAGAGTTGTCTCTCTTTTTTGTTCATTTTTTTTTGTATCTTTATTTCTTGTATAACAAATAAGTCCGCAAGATATTTATTTTTTTGTCACCTATATTTTCTTTTCGTTGTCCTAAACGTGTTGCATTGGCACTCGGAATTTTATTGATTCATGTAACGGGCATTTTTGTTTGTTTTAGTATTATTGTTAGAAAATTACTCAGTTTTTTCTGTGTTGTTCATCAATATTGACATTGTTATTATATATGTCTTATATTTCTAAAAAAAACATTGTAGCATCAAATAAAATGTATTTTGTTTTATTTTGTTCCATTGAAAAAAAAATCAAAAAAAATCAAAATTTCATATTATCCCAAAAAATCTGAAGTAACAACAATGCCTCATTACATATTTAGGCGGAGGGACGGGATTCTTAAATATATTCTCTATTCGCCATTCGCAGACATGATCTCCGTTTCCTCCCAAAGCACACGACATTTAATTCCTTTCAAAATCTTCGCATTCATAGAGGCACTTTTTCCTTCTTCATGGCAACATGTAGGTTAACTAGGGAAGAACTTGCACCATGCAGCCTGTCACACCACATGGCTTGGCACGCGGCTGACGTCAACCCGGTGGGATATATCCAGTTCTGGGTGGAAAGTTCTACATGTGTGCTGATCTGTAGTGTGAGTTCCTATACTGTGGTGATACAGACCAGTCACGCTCCTATTGTGTGACGTATTCCTCGGGTCTCAACAACGTTTGAATGGATTAGCATTAAGTAAGCTCCATTGCAACTGAGGTGTAAATAAAAACAACGTGTCGACTTTTCCTCTGCTCTGTCTGCTGGCCGATAGTGTTGATATTATGACGACTGTAGCGACACAGGTAGGTAGAGTAAGCAAAATATACTGAACACATGTACATGCTAATACGCCTACATGCCATTGTGTTATTCTGATGGTCACTGAATTGCGGTTAAGAGCCTAACACATCGCCAATTCTCTTTCTGTGGCTAAAAAGCCAGGCCCCCGGCCATGTACCCTCCCCTCCCTCACTTTCTTACTTTGTGGTTTAGGAAGGGAGTTTATCTGTGTAAGAGTTTATCTGTGTAAGCATCCAATTGGTTTGTTTTGATATCCTAGTAACACGGCCGCCCCTCCAACACCGTAACAATGTGGTTAAACAATAATAAAAAAAAAAATCTTTCATACTATCTTATTGTTAGGTGACATTATTGTGGGAATGATTTCCATAGCCATGATGCAAATGAACTTCCTATATTAAATACATTGTAACATGTAATTCCATACAGTTTATACAATGTATAGAATTATTTATATACACTATATATATGGTCAAAAATAAGGTTGTCCTGTAAATGTTAATCAATTATAATGGATAATTGATGATATGAGAACAGCTTTGAGATCACCAAATAAACTGATGCTTTCTGGTAAATAATTGAGTTATTCCCCTTTAACGTCAAGAAAAAGCTTAAATAATAACTCCTATTTTACAATACAAATTTATAAAACCAAGTTTGTGTTTTTTTTAAGTGTAGACCTATAACAGATGAATTACGGGTACTAGCAATAGTAACTAAGTCCGAGTGTAATAGTTAATGTTGCATGTTCTTTCAATTGTGCAATGCTAGAGAAATGTGTTTAGAATAATGATGTTGCTGAAATCATTCTTATGATTACGACCTGCCAGATTGAAGCAGTAGAGACCGAGATTCAAGGATGTGAAGACCGGCTGGATGTGATTGAGCGTTCTCTGCGCCTAAAGGAGGACATGACTGACCCAGAAAGGTCTGTGTCACTGTGGTAGATGGAATAACATTCCAAGAGAAGATAGAAAATGTATTTTTTTGTGACCTAAATGAAATTGGAGACGAATATCATTATTTATTTAACTGTAATGACCACCAGATAGTGCAAAACAGAAGAAAATTTATGTCGAGATACTATTTTGAAAGTCCTAGTACTTTAAAGTTTAATACATTATTTAATTATGTCAATAATGAAGAACTAATTTCACTTATAAAATTCCTTAAGCATATAATTGAGCGAATTAACACTGGCCATTAACACCATGATTTATATGTAAACTGTACTATATATATGTATATAATTATCTACACTGTAACCAGTTTGCGAGAATAAAAACTTGTCATTGTCATTGTTAATCATTTACACATAATATTTTATAAAATTTTGAGTTTTACATATATAAGTCTTTGAAAAGCAAAAGTCCAATGAAGATTGATGCCTCGATATATACACTGCAAAAAAGAAAGTGTAGGGAGAGAAGAAAACATAGAGGTCCCAAATTTCTCAATGGGGACAGCAGTTCAGGTTTTTTTTTTCAATTGTCCCCTAGGCAGAAGGCAGAAGAAAACATCTGAGTCTGCAGGGGAAGATGGGGGGCTGCATACTGATTGGGAGGAGGGCGTCATTAGTCGCCTCATCAAAATGGGCATATGCACTGTAGTTTTTATGAGATCTGTCCTCTATATCTGTTCATAAACTGTTTCACAAGTCTATATATTACATGTCATCTATACATTTTCTATGTCCTGTCTTTAATTTTCTTTTGTTATTGTACAGGTTGATGAAACTTAATTTCAAGATCAAAGGTCAACTACCTGTAACTCCCCTGTCTAAGCTTCAACAATGTCTTTACTGATAGCTAATTGAAAGTCACAAAATCCTAATCATGACTTAATTCTTAGTATGTTTCCCCTTTGAATGAATGGAGACATATTGTATTAAACTGGTTGTTTTAATAAAATTTTGTCGGCTAGTGTTGTAATTTTCAAACCAAAATAGGTATCTAAATAAAAATCGAAGTATCACTGCACCTCTCCCAAAGGTTGTCTGATGCACTGCCATTAGGTCATTGTCACCACGACATACACCATAAGGTCAAATAAGTGCAAATTTCCATACAAAATGTTGTCCAGACCATAATTTAAAAACCATTCAAGTGCATGCACACTTAGAGCCCCTGAAGGTGCAGTGTACTGTGATTAGGTCATCGTCATCTTAACCTCACAGTCAAAGATAAAATGACAGACAACAAATAAAAATATCAATTATATTGTAACCAGCCCCAGGGGCCAGAGAGTTGGGTCCCAAAACGGTCAAATTAGTGAAAGTTTCAAAATTCTTTTTTCGGCCTAGATATTCTAGAATCAAATAACCTTCAGAGATGGATAGATTTTTAGGTGCTTCATGAATTTCATCATCATTTGATGATCCATACCCCAGATGGTTTATAGGTTTACTGTAGTTTATAAACTTTTGAGTATTGTTTATTTTTCGGTAGAAAATATTTTTTCAATTGAATTTTTTTGTTTGTTATCGTGGGTAGGCATTTTGATGGTGTGAAAATTAAAATTAATAAACGTCCAATGTTACTTTGTCCAAGCAGTGAATTTGATAATCTGTGGATCAATCTATCCCTTGTGGAGAAGGGATCTTATACTTTAGTTTACATGAACATAATGCTTTAAGACATATGCCTTATGACACTAAGAAAGTATGAAAATGGCCCATAGATCTTTAAACAATAAAATGGTACGATTTAGCCCTAGGGATGGGGCCTACTCTATAAAATTTAATAATTAAGAAAAAATGCTAAAGCAGTTTAGTAAAAAGTAAGAAGCTATATGTGTCCTGATATATAATTACTAAAATAATGTATTTGAATGGCTTTTATTTAGTGTGTGCTTTATTGACATGATGACTGTGCTAGTTGTGAGTTATAATTGCATTGTTTCCCTGTTTTTGTAGAAATGATTTAAAGGAAGAGGCCAAACGAGTAAAAAAGACACTGACAAATCATAGTAAGTATCATAGCAGGTATAATTGCCAAGGGACCTAGGGGGTGTTCCCTGAACGCATACATCTTTAGAGCAATAGGTAGAAACATCAAAGGGAGAGTACTTATAGTTTGTATCATATATGTACTTTATCTATATCTAAATGTGTGCGTTCAGGGAATCAGCCTTAGGTATTCCGTCTTTGCGTATTGCAGAGTTACCTTCTCTTGGGAGCAGGTATTGATTGTTACGGCATTGGTCTGTGTGCGAAAATTACGTCGTTTTCTCAAAAATTGATGACGTTTCTCTCACAAACAAGTGACGTAACAATCAATACCTGCTCCCAAGAGAAGATAACTCTGCAATACGCAAAGACGGAATACCAGACCCCAATTTTGCCTACATTCCCTAACTTAAAAGATTTTCCATTTGAAAGCATTGTTAAAGTTATGGAAAGATTTCTGAAACAAATTTTTTCTCATACAAGCAATGTTTTCCAATGGGATTTTTTTAGCAAAGGCATTCCTGTAAGTTTGGAACGTTCAACAACTTCGGGATTTACCTTTGATCCTGCAAGAACTGGAACTTACAAGAACAAATTTGAATTAAAATTATTTAATTTACTTAATTTTAAGATAATCAGTTTCATTTAAAAAATAGATTTTACAAATGTACACGTATGCATATTGTCAATATCAACTGTTCCAGCTTAATTAGACTGATTTATAAAGAAATATATGTTAAATCAGTATTTAAATTTGAACTACGACTGTTCATGAGACATACAAACAGAACAGAACTTTAAATCTGACATATACACAACAAAACCTGGGGTCACAGGTATACCTTCCATCAGCATAGTCCCAAAAAACCTTCATTTTTTTAAAATTATTTTTTTTTATTTTAAAAATTAAAAGTCTTTTATTTCCAGCCTCTATCAGCAGCGGTCAGACATATACCTTGTATATTTCTTCGTTAAAAAACACTTAAATATACCTTGTTTTGTGAATAAAGTGACATTTGACAGTTCCTTGTTTTGTATATAAAAGTGATATTTGAAGGATCTTTGTTTAGAATATATATAAAGTGTTATTTGACAGTTCCTAGTTTTGTGCATAAAGTGACATTTGAAGGTTCATTGTTTTGTGCATGAAGTAATATTTAACTTTTCCTATTTTTTGTAGAAATTGGCATTTTAAAGTTCTTTGTTTTGTGTATAAAATGACATTAAACAGTTCCTTGTTTTGTGTTTAAAGTACCATTTGACAGTTCCTTGTTTTGTGTTTAAAGTACCATTTGACAGTTTCATCGTTTTGTGTCTAAAGTACCATTTGACAGTTCCTTGTTTTGTGTTTAAAGTGACATTTGACAGTTCCTTGTTTTGTGCATAAAGTGACTTTTGACAATTCCTTGTTTTGTTCCTTAAGTGACATTCGGCAGTTCCTTGTTTTGTTCAATAAGTGACATTCGGCAGTTCCTTGATTGTTCATTAAGTGACATTCGACAGTTCATTGTTTTGTTCATTAAGTGCCATTGGGCAGTTCTTTGATTGTTCATTAAGTGACATTCGGCAGATCCTTGTTTTGTTCATTTAGTGACATTCGGCAGTTCCTTGTGTTGTTCATTAAGTGACATTCGACAGTTCCTTGTTTTGTGTTTAAAGTACCATTCGACAGTTCCTTGTTTTGTTCATTAAGTGACATTCGGCAGTTCCTTGTTTTGTTCATTAAGTGACTTTCGGCAGTTCCTTGATTTGTTCATTTAGTGACATTCGGCAGTTCCTTGATTTGTTCATTAAGTGACATTCGGCAGTTCCTTGTTTTGTTCATTAAGTGACATTCGGCAGTTCCTTGTTTTGTTCATTAAGTGACATTCGGCAGTTCCTTGTTTTGTTCATTAAGTGACATTCGGCAGTTCCTTGTTTTGTTCATTAAGTGACATTCGGCAGTTCCTTGTTTTGTTCATTAAGTGACATTCGGCAGTTCCTTGTTTTGTTCATTAAGTGACATTCGGCAGTTCCTTGTTTTGTTCATTAAGTGACATTCGGCAGTTCCTTGTTTTGTTCATTAAGTGACATTCGGCAGTTCCTTGTTTTGTTCATTAAGTGACATTCGGCAGTTCCTTGTTTTGTTCATTAAGTGACATTCGGCAGTTCCTTGTTTTGTTCATTAAGTGACATTCGGCAGTTCCTTGTTTTGTTCATTAAGTGACATTCGGCAGTTCCTTGTTTTGTTCATTAAGTGACATTCGGCAGTTCCTTGTTTTGTTCATTAAGTGACATTCGGCAGTTCCTTGTTTTGTTCATTAAGTGACATTCGGCAGTTCCTTGTTTTGTTCATTAAGTGACATTCGGCAGTTCCTTGTTTTGTTCATTAAGTGACATTCGGCAGTTCCTTGTTTTGTTCATTAAGTGACATTCGGCAGTTCCTTGTTTTGTTCATTAAGTGACATTCGGCAGTTCCTTGTTTTGTTCATTAAGTGACATTCGGCAGTTCCTTGTTTTGTTCATTAAGTGACATTCGGCAGTTCCTTGTTTTGTTCATTAAGTGACATTCGGCAGTTCCTTGTTTTGTTCATTAAGTGACATTCGGCAGTTCCTTGTTTTGTTCATTAAGTGACATTCGGCAGTTCCTTGTTTTGTTCATTAATTGACATTCGACAGTTCCTTGTTTTGTTCATTAAGTGACATTCGGCAGTTCCTTGTTTTGTGTTTAAAGTGACTTTTGACAGTTCATTGTATTATGTGTACAGTAAGATTTAACAGTTCCTTGTTTTGATATCACATTTGGCAGTTATTGTTTTGTGTGGGAAGCGATCATGACATTTAACAGAGCATGTGCGTTTTCTGTAGGAAGTCGTGTTGAGGGAACTTCTTTTTAATACATGTAGCTTTATTAACACCAACTGACATTCTCTCTCTCATTTTCTTATACGCAAAAACAAAATGGCATTAAAAACCTATGTTCTGCGTTGCAGGTCTTGTTTTATAGACAAAAGGTTGTTCATGTCATGAAATCTAAGTAGAGATAATTATCCTGAACTACCCATTCTTTCAATAAAAGTCCCCCAGTTAAGGTTACTTTTCGATTGAGATATAAAGATATTTTGGAAATATAAACTTATAAATTACCGAAGCAAACTGTTGGTTTGAAAATGAGATTATCTCATCTCGAAATACTTACTTATAATTATATAGGCGAAATCATAATTATATAGGCGAAATCACTATCAGAGAGGCTGAAATAAAATGTTGTTTACATAGCATAGGAAGCAAAATTCTGAAAATCAGCCTTGTTTTGCCAAACGAAAATATGAGGGAGAAAAGCTCAATTGTGTCAAGAACACCGCTTCACATTCTTCATACCTGGATAAAAGCCGCTATACAAAGCAGGAAGTTCCTTCAATGCGATTTCTTACAGAAAAGTGCGCATGTATCAGCCTCGTTTGTCGATACACCTATACCTATAGGTGTATTCACAGACAAGGCTACCAACCATGAACATGTGACAGTTTGTTAGCTGTCTTAATACCGGAAGTGACATTTTTGCACTTGTTTTGTAGAGAGCGAGCTGAGTAAGTTACGGAAGGAGAACTGGAAGAACATGTTACTGTCGGTGTTACTGATGGGACTAGTCTACCTTACCTACCACTATATATGGGCACCGTAACTGCTAATAAACCTGTTATATTGACACTGTTGTTGTTACTAATGGGACTAGTCTACCTTACCTACCACTATATATGGGCACCGTAACTGCTAATAAACCTGTTATATTGACACTGTTGTTGTTACTGATGGGACTAGTTTACCTTCCCTACCACTATATATGGGCACCGTAACGGCTAATAAACCCGTTATATTGACACTGTTGTTGTTACTGATGGGGCTAGGCCTCCTTACCTACCACTATATATGGGCACCGTACCGGCTAATAAACCTGTTATATTGACACTGTTGTTACTGATGGGACTAGTCTCCCTTACCTACCACTATATATGGGCACCGTAACGACTAATAAACCTGTTATATTGACACTGTTGTTGTTACTGATGGGACTAGTCTAACGTACCTACCACTATATATGGGCACCGTAACGGCTAATAACCCCGTTATATTGACACTGTTGTTGTTACTGATTGGACTAGTCTAACGTACCTACCACTATATATGGGCACCGTAACTGATTATAAACCTTTTATATTTACACTGTTGTTGTTACTGATGGGACTAGGCCTCCTTACCTACCACTATATATGGGCACCGTAACGGATTATAAACCTTTTATATTGACACTGTTGTTGTTACTGATGGGACTAGTCTACCTTACCTACAACTATATATGGGCACCGTAACTGCTAATAATCCCGTTATATTGACACCTTTGTTGTTACTGATGGGTCTAGTCTACCTTACCTACAACTATATATGGGCACAGTAACGCTAATAAACCTGTTTTATTGACACTGTTGTTGCTGATGGGACTAGTCATATTGACACTGTTGGTGTTACTGGTGGGACTAGTCTACCTTCCCTACCACTATATATAGTCACCGTAACGGCTAATAATCCTGTTATATTGACAACGTTGTTGTTACTGATAGGACTAGGCCTCCTTACCTACCACTATATAAGGGCACCGTAACGGCTAATAAACCTGTTATATTGACACTGTTGTTATTACTGATGGGACTAGTCTAACTTACCTACCACTATATATGGGCACCGTAACTGCTAATGGACCTGTGATATTGACACCGTTGTTACTGATGGGACTAGTCTACCTTACCTACCACTATACATGGGCACCGTAACGGCTAATAAACCTGTTATATTGACACGGTTGTTGTTACTGATGGGACTAGTCTACCTTACCTGTCACTATATATGGGCACCGTAACGGCTAATAAACCTGTTATATTGACACCGTTGTTGTTACTGATGGGACTAGTCTACCTTACCTATCACTATATATGGGCACCGTAACGGCTAATAAACCCGTTATATTACCACTTGTTGTTACTGATGGGACTAGTCTACCTTACCTACCACTATATATGGGCACAGTAACGCTAATAAACCTGTTATATTGACACTGTTGTTGCTGATGGGACTAGTCTAACTTACCTACCACTATATATGGGCACCGTAACTGCTAATGGACCTGTGATATTGCCACCGTTGTTACTGATGGGACTAGTCTACCTTACCTACCACTATATATGGGCACCGTAACTGCTAATGAACCTGTGATATTGACACCGTTGTTACTGATGGGACTAGTCTACCTTACCTACCACTATATATGGGCACCGTAACTGCTAATGATCCTGTGATATTGACACCGCTGTTGTTACTGATGGGACTAGTCTACATTACCTACCACTATATATGGGCACCGAAACGGCTAATAAACCCGTTATATTGACACCGTTGTTGTTACTGATGGGACTAGTCTACCTTACCTACCACTATATATGGGCACCGTAACGGCTAATACACCCGTTATATTGACACTGTTGTTGTTACTGATGGGACTAGTCTACCTTACCTCCCACTATATATGGGCACCGTAACGGCTAATGAACCTGCCCCCTTGACACCGTTGTTGTTACTGATGGGACTAGTCTACCTTACCTACCACTATATATGGGCACCGTAACTGCTAATGAACCTGTGATATTGACACCGTTGTTGTTACTGATGGGACTAGTCTACTATTTGTTCTGTAGGCTGGGAGGGAAAATTTCAAATATTTTATAAAGAACAATGGTGCTCAGAGTTTGTCGCTTGCTTTGGTAAAAGACGATCAAATATGGTCAAATGAGATATCTCTGCTCATTTTTGGGATCATGTGGTCAGAAGCTTTTAAACCTAGCCATGACACAATTTATAAATTCCTGTAGCTTATTTTCGCATTTTTTATGAAATGTTGATAATATATTTTTATAGTCGATTTAAAGTTTCTGCACACAAACAGGGTCAGCTTACCCGTGGCCGCTGTCCTCTTGTTTGTCCTATTTATTACTACATACATGTACTGATCCGTGATGACTAACTGATATAAAGATACCTGACTAAACACGATGTTGTATATCTGTTATATTGACCTGCATGTAAAAATGCTGTCTTCTGCAATGTACAATGGATGAATGGTCGTCGCCGGAAATAGACTTCCGGTGACTGACTTTACCGGAAGACGTGGTCGATGTAAGTGATATTTACATTCACAGTGTTAATGTGGCTTGGTGACAATAACAGATAAACAAAATGGACCGGAGTCATAAATAGGTTTTTTGTGAGAATGGCCGCCCTTCCACCGCCAGTGCTTGCTGGGTCGGGTGACGACCACGGTAGACTTGGGAGTAACTACCTGGCTCGCCTCCTGATCCCAAACGATGTGGTCCTCGGAGTCTACCTTCTTGCAGGGTTGTTTGGTAACCTTCTCGTCATATATGTTTACTCTTTTAAACTCAAGACCAAACGTGACAACCGCTTCTTCATACCGTTCCTCGCAATATTCGACCTGCTGGCTTGTGCCATAGGAGCCAGTTTTGCGATGTCGCTCAACATTCTACCTCTTATATACTACGGGGATACGCTCTGTAAAACATTGTGGTTTCTCAGCGAGGCAACGACCATTGCGTCAAGCCTATTACTGCTTGTGATCGGCCTGCAGAGATATCTCAAGGTTTGCAGACCTTTTGAAGCTCAGATGACTTCTATGTGGAAGAAAATAGCCCTTGTAATGACAGTGGTGAGTGCATGTCTCATATCGAGTCCTACCGTCTTGTTTTACGGCGAGATCCAGTTGTATACGTTGGCGAGTGTCACAGGTGTTAGGTGTGGCAAGCGGAGTGACGATGAACATCTCGTTCAAGGTCTCGTCATCTATAACATCATGTTGTTTGCTACAGCAGTCGTTGGGACTATTACAATGGCTGTGCTATACGGCATCATAGCACGCGCCATATATCATCAATTTCTTCGTCACAGAAAATCTACGTACAAGAAAAAAAGGCAGCACGTTAAAAGCAAACCTTCTGACAAGTCGAACTCATCTATGTCGTATGATTCTGAAGACAAGGTCACGATGCGAAAAGAATATTCTACAGCACCACCTTCGAAAAGTTCAAATAGTTACCCAACAACGCAAGAAACGGAAATAGAATCCCAGCCATCATTTCCGGAATCGGATCTGGAAGAACAATCAGTCGACGACTTTGATGTTATTGAAAGAAAAAATACAAAAGAAAAGCTAAAAGATGAGAAAGAAAAACGCATAAAAAGACGTTCGTTTGATGTATTACGTGAAAATATTGAAAGCATACGTGAAAAACTACAACGAGAGCGTGTTTATAACCACTTTCGTGTACATCGCTGTACGTACATGTTCATGACGATCACGCTGATTTTTGTGGTGTCGTATACGCCACGTGTGGTACTTATGTTACTGGAGTCGTTCGAACCAGACTTCTGGGGATCGCTGTCAAACTCACAGATGCAGGTGTGCTACTTCCTGTATCGGATGTACCTCCTTAATCACGTGACCAACCCTTTCATCTACGGATTGTTCGACAGCAGGTTCAGATCAAAAGCTAAACGGCTTTTGTGTCCGTGTTTGATTACACGAAAAACACGTGTCATTAGACATTAACGACTTGTCTTTAAAGCATCACTATCAAATCATAGATAGGAGTGGTTTTGGTAGTTTATGTACTAGTAGTTGTCAGTATCATAAGGATATTGCCAGCACTTTTTTCTGGTATCCGATCATGGATACACCGTGTTACTAGATTATATGGGGTGGTAAATCGGTGGATACTATGTATTACTTCACTTAATTAAAACGATCAATGAGCAACTCGTGTCGGGACCTGTGTAAAGGTAGATGCATCCAACATAAATTTTAAATGTAAATCATAATCTTACCGTGCCGTGCGCTAGTTCGTTTTTCTATAGGACGTAAAGACAGCTTTATATTGGAATTGTATATAGCGTTCTGGTAGTTTAAATCGTTACAAAGATAAGTGTGGGAGAAATAAATTAGTGCATTTGTATACAGGTTTACAAAGCACTATCAGCGAAGTGTTTATATGAGGCTTTTCGCTGACTTACACGATGTTTATACTGTCTATTTGTGTTTGTTAACAAGAAGGTTTTAAAATATCAGTGGTACACGGTTTCCCTTTTGTACAATAGGCTGCTTTAGGATTGCTTTACATGTAGTAAGGTCAACGTTTAAGGTTGTATTTACTGTAAATAGAACATTCGAATTTGCACCACAATTGACGCCAAAAAACTTGCACTGTCGACTGGCCTTAATCGAAATACAAAAACAAAACTCCACCACATAAACCTCAGTATTAAATACCATGTAATACCTCAACTTCCACACTTGGTGGTGGTTAAAATACTGTTTAATTTTACACACATAAATGTTATTGTCGGCGATTAAAACGTCACTTGGTGAGATTCTAATACTAAAGTGCATGCACATAAGTGCAGCGCTGGATCTCAATTTTAGTACAAAAAGACAACAGGAAAAGATTGACGCCAAAGTTCTAATGGCAACGATTGTCGACTTCCTGAATGGGGTTTTACATTCAAAGTTTACATACATAACTGATAGTATACACGATTCATAACACACTGCAATTCATAAATCATACCATACCATGTGTGTACATCTAATAAAGTAAACGACCGAGACAAACATGGACCTAAAAACTAGTCGGGTGACATTAACGGCACTTTATCTATTACAGAATCTATCAACTAATGTTCGTGTAATGTGATGAAAAATGTAACGAGGGTAGAGAAATATAAAACCACTAGAAAATGTCTGTAAGACGTGAATACCCCCGCCGCCACGTGAAATTAGTTTCAGTGTGTGATGTTCTATAAATAGTTACAACCACTTTGACCTTTAAACATGAAACATAAACTCATCCGAGGTTTTCTGTTTATAAACTTTCATCAAATATGTTAAAGAATCGGTTTATGATTGTCTATATATAGCAACCGTGACCTTGACCTTGACCTTGGAACCCTGAAATACAAAAACGATGTCCGAGGGTTTCGATGTATAAACTTTCATCAAAATCTGTTAAGAAATGAAGTAGCTAGAGTGATGACAATGAATCGATTGAGGATTTTCTATATATAGCAACCGTGACCTTGGCATTGACCTTGGAACCCTGAAACACAACGATGTCGGAGGTATACTCATACTTGACCTTTGTATAAAGTTTGACGAAAATCTTTACATTGAATCGGGATGGGACGGAACGCGACGGACATGGTCAACACTATATCAAATCCCGAGTTAATATATACCAACATGACGGACAATCAGTGCAAATATATGTTGATTATATCTAGTATACCACATAAAAAATGATTTTTGAATAATCTGTTTTTGCCTCTTACATCAGTGCCTATAAGGCTACTAGATCTGGATATAAATTAAGATACACTGTCATTCATTATTGTCAGGTGCTGCCTCTTTTTCATTTCACCAACAAACCAGCGCGCAAAATTAATTACGTCAAGTTTTTGATGCTGTAGCTAGTGGTCCTATTCTGTCAGTTTTACGTCAACGCGTGTGTGAATGATTAGATACACACGAGCGCGCTTGGGCGATGTGGTAGAATGTAAATCTGTAAATACACCACCCACCTAAGGTGTGTAAAGCACAATATTTTAGTTATCATGACATTTCCTTTTAGGATAATGGTAAAAAAGAGCAAAATCTTGCCCGGGATGTAGATTTCAAGACATGTTGATGGAACTTTTAAATTTACCTGCATCAGAAGGTTTGCAATGATTTGTTATTAGGTCACTGTGTCTTCCACCTTTCGGTCACATGTTAAACGAGTGCAATTTTTATCCCATGGTGCAGCGTCCGTCGTCCGTCGTCCGGCGTCCGTCAACTTTTTCCTTTAAAATGCTACTTGTCCTGAATGGCTCAGAGGATTTTGACCAAATTTGGTCAGGAGCATCATTGGCCAAAGGGTTCTCAGTTTTGTATAAACGGAGGGTATAACCCCCCTGGGGGCAGAGGGGCGGGGCCAAATAGGGGGAAAATAGGTAAATCTTTAAAAATCTTCTTCTTCTCAACCAATAGAAGGATTTTGACCAAATTTGTCCTAGAGCATCTTTGGACAAAGAAGACTCAAGTTTGTATAAACGGAGGGTGTGGCCCCTCTGGGGGCGGAGGGGCGGGGCCCAATAGGGGAAATAGAGGATTTTTTTTCTCCTGCTATACAAGTGAAGGGATTTTAACCAAATGCAGTCTGAAGCATGATTAGGGACAAAAGAATCAATTTTGTATAAACTGAGGTGTGTGGGCCTCCTTCTAAGGGCAGATGGGTGGGGCCCATTAGGGGAAATAGAGGAAAACATCAAATATCCTTCTCCTTTTGTACCGATGAAGGGATTTTGACCAAATTTGGTCTGGAGCATCATTGGCCAAAGGGTTCTCAGTTTTGTATGAACGGAGGGTATGGTCCCCCTGGGGGCAGAGGGACGGGGCCAAATAGGGGAAAATAGGTAAATCTTTAAAAATCTTCTCCTCAACCAATTGAAGGATTTTGACCAAATTTGTCCTAGAGCATCTTTGGACAAAGGAGACTCAAGTTTGTATAAACGGAGGGTGTGGGCCTTCTGGCGGCATAGGAGCGGGGCCCAATAGGGGAAATAGAGGATTTTTTTTCTCCTACTATACAAGTGAAGGGATTTAAACCAAATGCAGTCTGAAGCATGCTTAGGGAGAAAAGAATCAATTTTGTTTAAACTGAGGTGTGTGGATTCCCCTTCTTTGGGGCAGATTAGTGGGGCCCATTAGGGGAAATAGAGGAAAACATTAAAGATCCTTCTCCTTCTGTACCGTTGAAGGGATTTTAACCTAACCAAACTTGTTTTAGAGAATCTTTGGGCAAAGGGAATTGAATATTTATAAATGGAAGATGCAACTTTGTTACTTGTAATCCTTTGATAAACCTGAATGGTACTCAGCAGGTTTTAAATTGAAAAATAAAATACCAGGTGAGCTATTAAGGCCCCTGGGCCTCTTGTTTTAGTATAATTGCTAAATCTGAAACAGTTAACTGTATCGACTTATACCTGGATCACCAACACGGTGTATGCAGTACAAAATATTCACCTCTAGGTCATGGGTCATATTAGAGCAAACTGTTTTGTTAAATTTCGTCTGATTTTAAACCACTTGAAGTGTGCCTGCGTGATCAGTCGCGGTATGTAGGCCTCACTAAGACCTTAAAGCTAAGGAAGATATATGCCTTATGAGGACAAGCATACTTTTTGTTCTCAAAATCAAAAATATTACAGCGTAGATTCGTTTAGGTTTGTTTTTATTCTTTTCCTGCCAAACTGTTTTGTATTTGTGTAATACAGTATGTATATGGTAAGCATGCACCAATTACCAGATCCGGATGTAATACAGTATGTATATGGTAAGCATGCGCCAATTACCAGATCCGAATGTAATACAACGAGTGCTGTTGAATGAAGATGTTTGGATCGTCTGTGCAATCTCGTTTATTATCAGTAGCAGCCAATACATATCGTTTTTTATAATGTTATGCATACATCATTTATAGCATTTTCGTTAAGGACGAGCAAGTCAAAATACAAACAGAAAAAACATTTTTCTCATTTATAAACTAACTTTAATAAAACGAAATAAACAATGTCAAAAACAATGTCGAATACCCTTCCTTTACTTAGTGAGAAATAAAAATATCATTAAAATAAGTTGTGCTTTCTGTTATTGAATGAACTGCGATTCAAAAACATTCACACGAGAAACTCACTACACAGTCCGATATAGAGGTTGTTAACTTTCGCCAGAGACCTACAACAGTGATTCAGGTTTCTGTTTTTGGAAATATCTGCAGTGTTTCAATCGTCTGGTATTAGCTTCAATTACACATGGTATACAAACTATCCTTCGATATAAGAACATCTTAATGGAAACGGGACGGTAACGTTGTCAGTACAACTAGTTCCCCAGCGAGTAGCCGAGTTCGTCACGTTATTCCCAAAAGTACGCTGATGCACTCTGTCTATGGGAGTGGTAAGCTTCTTCATCGAAGGGAAATCTTACTCCATAGTTCCTTTCTCACCCACAATACGTCTTCAGGCCACGCATTGGTTCCCTGTAACGATGATGGTTTCCGCTCTATCCCGGCTTTCAACACTGGAACCATGTTATGTCGGTAGAGGAAATCGACAACGAACTGTCCACTGTTTCTGCCGCGATGGTATTTAAATTCCATTAAGAGATAATCGACCTGTACTTTGGAAAAGAACTGCTCACCTCCACGGAAAACATTGGCTTCAAACGCTTCCACGTCTATCTTTATCATGACTTTTTTGAATGGATATATACCTAACAAATCGTCTAACAGAATGGACATCACGACCTCCTTATTTGCAGTGCTTGCATTTCCAAGTTTTTTCACATATGTGGCTCCGACATTACCTCTTAGAGTCTATATCCACCGAAGCTCACATTTTCCCGTGTATTTGACATAGCATTGAGAATGATAGTTACGTGCTTTAACAAATTACCGGCTGAAACAGAGGCACAGAGTCTGTGAACGTTTTTGGTAAGGCAGTCTATTGAGAACACCGTCCGACCCAGCTTAGCCGCCATTAGGGAGAACACGCCGACATTAGCCCCGATGTCTAACAGGACTAAATCAGGATCTCCACTCAGGTACCCGCGTAAACCCTCTACCAAGTCGTCTTCCCACATACCGTTTTTCAGTATGGATCCGGACACGACCTCGTCAATTTCCTCTTTATACACATAGATTGGCGTATCGATCGGCCTTCGTAGATGGCCCAACGCGAAATCTGTACCAACGTCACACTTGCTGGCCAATTTGGCCCATCCTACTGACCCTGGAGACCACGTGATAATACCGCCAGTACCAATCAGACCAGGATTCTGTGCACTGTCTTTGCCTGCCACATTCTTGCGCGAGGCATCAGACCCACGTGAGGCAACACTCGCCAAACGTGATGCAACACTGGTCGCACATGACGTAACACCGGTCACATGCCCACGTGGTACAATACTGGTCGCACGTGAAGCATTACTGGTCACAGGCCCGCGTGAAACATTGTAGTGCGTCATTGCCCTGTGATATACCAATATGTTGGTGTTGTTGCCGGACGGGAAGTCGTACCAAAAGCGTCGCATTTCAAACACGCAGACAAGTGTTATAGCTAACATTGAAAGTAGTGTGTAGAATCTTGGAAACCTCATGGTCGGCGTACAATTCACTGAAACAAAAACAAGACAGTAGTTGAACGATAAGAACTTAGAGCATCCGTTTGTTATTAGATGACATTTAAGGACCCCTGTCTCACTACACTATGTTTTTCCTATATACAGTAGCCTCCTATTAACTTCCACTTTGATATAACGGCCAAGCACACTTGTAGCAGGACACTTTCGTTGACCAGGTAGCTCAATCAATAAGAGCAATAGTATAACAATCTGAAATAAAATGCTCAAATCCCGGTTTAGCTTGATCTCGCGTTCACGGTTTATGAAAGATGGAATTACATGTCCTTGTCCACATGTGATCGTGATCATTTCATTTCACGTGTTATTGACATAATAATTTCATTGTTTTACATTTACCTGTAATTGACATGACTACGTTATCATTTACCTGTTACTGACATAACTACGTTATCATTTACCTGTAATTGACATAACTACGTTATCATTTACCTGTAACTGACATAACTACGTTATCATTTACCTGTAACTGACATAATTACGTTAGCATTTACCTGTAATTGATATTAATACGTTATCACTTTTACTTGAAACTGACATAACTACGTTATCACTTTACCTGAAACTGACATAACTACGTTATCATTTACCTGTAATTGACATAGCTACGTTATCATTTACCTGTAATTGACATAACTACGTTATCATTTACCTGTTATTGACCTATCTATATTCTTATGTATCTGTAATTTACACAACTACGTTATCATTCAACTGTTATTGAACTAACTATGCTATCATTTACCTGTAATTGACATAACTGCGTTATCACTTTAGCTGTTATTGACATATCTATATGATCATTTACCTGTAATTGACATA